CCAACTCATCAGACCATTTTGAAAGGATTTTGTTATCCCTTGGAGTGAAAAGATTCTTAGCTACCACAGTAGTGGTTATGGTATTCTTCATCACAAAGTCCCCAACCGTAAGAGGACCATTAGAAGATAAGAAGGACGGGCGTCATATTTATCCTGACGCTGCTCGTCTGTATCACTCCTAAGACTCAAATCTAAGCAAATGTTAAATGGGCAAGCCATTTGCAGAAATGATAAAGGACAAATGAGGTCAAATAAAATCTTAGAAGTGTAAGAAAGGGAAAATTTCTACATGCAGCAACTTTATGAGCATACTTTTGAATACAATTGATGTCTATATAAAAGAAGAGACAACAAAGCCATTTGTTCAAAGATCGAAGAGGCACCGCTCTCCGAATTTCAAAAGCCAGATTTTCCTGAATAAAGTTCGTTGGCATTTTTCAGATACAATCTCAACTTTTTTTTGGATATCGCGTGCAACTTTGTCAAAGATCTCTGACAAAGTTAAAAATACGTAAATCTTACTGTTCTAATTACACCATAGTTGCTGATAAGAGTAAAGGCACATCACCACTACATGCTATTGAAAAATCTCTATATATGTCGACCTTCGTTCTCCATAACAAGGTAAACTTGCAAGAATACCTAACTCTTCCTCATCTTCGAGAATGCATCTTCAACAAAGCATCTCGAAATACTCAATTTTCTTTCTCTCTGAGAATACCTCTTCAAACCAGTCACATCAGAGCAAGATTACCTCATATCATCAGGGACGAGAGTAAGAATATCTCATATCATGCAATCTCCCTATCATTTCCTTTGTCTTTGTTCTTACTTGCAAAGACAAGGATAAAGAAAGCAATATGTCAGAACCTTCACTCAAACTTTCGGTAATGAACCGACTGCCTGGAACCTTTCTTGATTGCTTACCTAGAATTGCTCTCGAGTACTCATCTTCAACTGTTAATGGAGTTGGGTCTCAAGTCATCAACATCGCAGAATAATTGGCCCGTTGTTGATTTTTTACACTGAAACTGACACGCATGGATGAGTCACCAAGAAGTGAAGGACCATTCAAATGCAAGGTTTGCATTCCACTCTTGCATCAGAGGACAAATACTACAAAATAAGATGCTAAACCTGCATACGGAAAATACCATTTCCACAAGGGGAACAGATAAGGCAAGTGAAAATGATACATTGAAACATGTGGAGACAAGCACAACAAAACACGTGCCACTTCATCCCCGACAAAGCCTAAGATCACTTGTCACATGAAGCTCCTCATGGTCCAATTTCATTCAAGATCAAGCCTAGACGACCCTTAAAGAAATTACAAGTCCGATTAAAGATCAAGTGTCCACCATCCTTGAATCAAATTCAGCTCCAGATAAAAGTAGTAAATTCAGACCTTTGGAGGAAGTCTAGCAGAAGGCCCTCCAACCCAGTTCAAGAACAAGCCTGTGGAAAGTTAACAAGTAAAACCCCTCTTTCGGCAACTCTTCTTGCTAAGAAACTGAAGCAGAATGATCAATGATCAGCCTAAATGATTTGAAATTAGGAGGAGATACTCATTAGGGGGAGCATCCACCACAAATCAAGATTTTAACGAGTCAATCGAAGACTTGTGGCCATCCAAGGAAGAGTGTTATGAATAATATGTAGATGGCCCACATGAATAGTTGTTACTATTTATGCACAGTATTTTTACTATTCATTTAAGAAAAATTTGTAAAATGGATAGTGTTCTCTTTGCTTATAAAACGAATGAGGATAGAAGCCACAAGGCTCACAAAAGAGGAAGAGAGAGAAAAGAAGAAGAGAAAGAGAGAAAAGAGAGGAAGAGGAGAGGGGATAATAAAGAGAGTTATTTTGTACTCTTATTATTCTAAATTATAATAGAAGCACCACTGCTGCTCCAAGGACGTACTCCAGTCACACTGACTGTAGAGGAACCTCGTAAATTTTGTGTCTTGTTTTATTTGTTCCACTGCACACACTATCGATTTAACAACAATATCTTATTTATTTTTATTTTTTTATTTATGGATGTTGATTTATATGCAAAGCCCATTCTCACCTTTTGGGCTAGACTACTTTTTTTTTTTGTTTTGTCTCGTAACTTGATCCAACTTGTATGAACTTTATTTTTTGATATGTTATATATTTTTTGTGGTTCAACAGGTGGATCAACGGCAACTCCCAAATGAATTCTTGAGGATGATAGGACAAAAGAAAAATTTTCATTTGCGGTTTGGAACTACGAAAAATAATTTGAATACGAATGATCTTCTGATTTCCAATGTTTCTGAAGACACAACCATGGAACCAACAACTCCGCAGGCCTTGCTAACGGAAATTACAGCGTCTTCAACACGGTTTCATCTTCTACTTCCACACTTGAAACAACTGCCCAATCGCATAAACGAAAAAAGAAATCAGTCATAATGTCTCTTTTTAGCAGCAGTGAACAAAGGTTATAACTTACCAAACAGTTTTTTTACAATGTTAAGGTTTTTAACTATCATGCATTCATGTTTGTTAATTTTGCTTATGTATTTAAATTAGTGACGTGGAAGAAAATTCAGAAGAAAATCCAAAAGACTTTGATGAAGTTCCAATCAATTTGTTGAGAAAAAAATCATCACCGATTGGTACAAAGACGGATCCTCTTGCTTTAAAAAAAAAGACTAGGTAAATATCATTTATCCTTATTTTTTTTTTCGGTGTAAATTTATTCAAAAATAAATTTGCCACATTGATCTAAATGTTTAGTTTTCATTTTCCTTTGCCTAGGTTGCTTTCCCAGTGGTGAAAAATACTTGACCAAAGCTTCAGTTGTTCCATGCATCAAATTTTACATATGTATCAAACAATCACCCTAAGATTTTTGCCATGTAAATAGCTCTCTCTAATCTTGACAGCACAATATTTTTTGGTATGTAAATAACTCTGTCTAACCTAGGGAGCATAATATTTTTTGCATGTAAATAGTCCAGATCTTTAGTATCTAAGTGCTTTGGTGCAGCACAATGGATGACTGTAATATTTTTTGTATGTAGATTACCAAAAATTCTGCATCTTTTACCCTATAGATTGTATAACTAAAGATTTTCTTTATTAAAATTTGCGATCCGTTTGATTGTAAATAATTTTAATGTTGTTACCTGTTTTTACTTGTTTTCAGCCCAGTATTTGGTGCAATTGTTAATCTCGCATCTAGGTGCCGGCAGGGTTTTCTAGTATGTCTCTATTGTACACTACTTCCTTTTTTTTTTTTTTTTAATAAATAAATTTATTATTATTAAGGGGAAGGGAATGGTTGGAAACTATTACAATAATATGGGGAAAGGGGGCAGATTAAGACCCAATTCAGTATTGCATTTTTTTACCAAAAACTACTTTACTTTAAAACTAAGCAATAAAAAATATTTTGTAAAAATAAAATATACTATTTATTTTAAAAGTCATGACCTACGAGTTTGTGATGTAAACATTGCCTCACTCACATATTGTTGAGTAACTAATTTATTTATTTATTTTTTAAATAAGGAAGGAGACTAATATAAAACACAAGTGCCTGCATTTAACAACCGCAATTTACTTGCTTGAAGTCTATAGACAAGGAAACAAAGATGGAGAAAATGCGGTTGCTCCAAAGTGGTGGCTGTCCTTTAATCATAAGGTCGTCCAAACCCTAAAAGATGAAAATGGTTTTATTTTTGGCGCAGTTCTGCATTGGAATCGATCTTCGGCTGATGTCATACCAGATGAAGCACTAATGGCTATTTGAGCACGTAGAGGAACATTAGTCATATGTAAGCCGTCTTCTTCTTCTTCTTCTTCTTCTAGAGAATTAGAGGATGAGCTTTACGATGAACTTCGTCTTGTTCCTTGAGATAACTTGAAGGGCTTCGCCAAGTTTAAGTGGTTTTCGAGGTTTTGAAGGCAAGTGCAGAGAAGTATGGAAGCTCTAATACATGCATTGTAGGTCATTCTATAGGAGCTGGGATTGCTCTCCGATTGGGAATGGCATTAGGGAAGAAGATTATATATATATGGACATGCAACAATTGTAGTTGATCAATAAATTCATGAATTATTTGGGTTTATGAAAGACAATAAGACATTGCAAATAAATCCTCATCAGAAGTAACATGAAACATGAAACTCTATTTCTCATGAAAACTTTCGTATCTCATTCTGCGGTGAATTGAAATTTATTTTTGAAGGGGTCAATGACAATATATTTTTTCTTTGTTGAAAATGCACGATGAGGATCTCGTTTTTCTTTAACTTCTACAATCTCGGTTCCCTATTTATTCCCCTCCTCAAAGAGTTTTTTTACAAACAAATGCGTATATCTAGTGATGAAAATTTGCCTTTGATGCACAAAGTATTGTGCATCATCAAGAAGTTTCACACAAATGAAACCAGATATCTCAGACGCTATACATATGCATGAATGGAGGAAAAAATAGGAAGAGAGTTGTGAGTGAAACAAGTTAAAACACAAAGTTTAGTATCCAACTCTTCAAATTTAAATACAATATTGGTAAAATTTAATTAGGGAAAAAAATTTCGAGCTCGTCGTATGAGATTCGAACTTTTCCTATAAAATTTAAACTTAAAATCTCTTATTAACTAATACTATAGTAAGACTTGAAAAGTAAGAGTGAGATTTTAAGAAACGTGATTTTTATTTAGAATTGCCTTTCAAGCTGACGTCAATTACCAACATAAAACGTCGCCGTTTAATTCCAGAGCAGACAAGGTCAGTAGAGACTTACCAACCCAAAAAGCAATACGCAGCTGTTCTTATTTACCTCTACTCGCTCCCATTAACCGACAGCTGTCACTCAAACTAACAAACCCCAAAAGCGGTGCCCACATCAGCTCGTATACGATCTAATCAAAGCTTCTGCGCGTGAAACCCAACCAAAGCCCACTGTCCTACCTTTCACATAATTTTAAATTTAATTTTATTAATTAATTAATTTATATCTCTCCGAAATCCCCAGTTTCCGTCTTCCCAAATAGAGTTTATCTTGTAAACGCGAGAGAGAGGTCGGGAGAGCTCGCTCAGGCTTATCTGATATTTGGGGTTAGGGTTTTTTCTCGATCCGACTTGCCAATTCCAAAACCCTAATTATCGGATCGGGTAATTCGCCCTTCGATTCCCCTCGATTCTGTTCATCTCTGTTTTAGGGTTTTGATGGTTTAATTTCTGGTCTGAATTTTAGGGGTTTTGTATAAATTCGAGATCTTTGTTTGGTTTGTTTTTAAATTGATAATATTCTGAGAGTGTAGAACTAATTTTTATTGTTTATAAGATGAATCTTTAAATTTTCACGCCCTGATCTGGAAAAACAAATGTAAATTAAGTTCTTTTTGGTGTTCTGATCTTTTATTTTTCCAGTAAATTACTCGAAAAATATATTATTATCATATTTGATTAGATGAAGCCGAAAAGTTTGGTGCTTTTTTGGAACCCTCGTTTTGTTTTTGGGCGTCAATATTTATTTTTTCCTAGGGCGAGATTGCAATTGATTTGATATAGATTTTGTTTACCCCCTTATGATTGCACAGTGGATGATTGTGGATGAGTGCGAAGCTTCTTTTCGATTATGTTATCTGTGCCTGTTATGTTGTTCTTATCTTGATTATATTTGATTGAGGTCATGATGATTTATCAGTTTTTTTAAATATGATCCAGGTCTGAGCATTCTGTTTAGCAGGCCCGCTTAGTTGAATCAGCTAAGTTTCATGTCTGACATCGATGTACAGCTTCCCACTGCCTTTGGTATGTTTTCTGTTAATTCATAACTCATTTGAGTGTGTTTGTGCGCTTGAATGCATGCCTGTGTACCTAGATGCCTGATAGATCATTTTTTTTAATTGAATTCAATTGGATAAATTTTTTAATTGAAAACCTGTGTAGGTGCTCGAGAGATCATTTTCAGTCATCGATACAGTACTGTTGTAATTTAGTAGTTGTGCTGTTTGAGAATTGGTGTGTAGTTGTTTCTTCAGCGACCTGACCAACCTGATCTACTCAAGAAACCAAGCTAAACTGCTTAACTGGGCGTTATTGACAACCTAAATGTTTGGGTTTGGGTTGGCTTGGCTATAATTCATATGAATCTGAAGTCGTTAGTTCAGGTGTTAGGAGCATGATCTTTAAGATCTGATTTAACGACCTGGAGCAATATGCATATGTACTGGTGAAAATATAAGGTTGTGAGTGTGGGGATTTGGACTGTAGGCATTGAAGTTATTGTTTACTGTTGCTTCTTAGCCTCTTCTTTGTTAATCTGTCATTTTCATTTTTATATGTCTTAAGCACAGCAGAGATGAGGGCATCAAATCCCACATTCACTTGGATACATCGCTTTTCCTAGAACTTATGAAAAGTGATGGTAGGCTACTCCATTTTAATTTATTGGACATTTACTTCAAGGTATATAGATGTGATCATGTGACTCTAATTGGATGACACTTGCCTTATATTTATACATCAAGTGAGAGAGCATACCCTTTTATGAATCTGAATTACGCCCAAAAGCTAAACAATTTCACTGCTTGATATGTGAGTGAACAATGATATAAATCAATCCATTTTTATGTAGTTATACTCTCGTAGAAGGCTACCCCCTTTATTTTTCTCTCACAGTTCTCTTGATTGTTGATGATTTCTGTGCACATTCATAGTTGGAAACTAAAAAATTCTGATTCAATGAACCTTCAGAGTGCGAAACGAGCGTGTAGAAAATTTGGTAGTGGCCATGAAAAAAATCTCACGTAGATGACGTTTTCACTATTTGGATACTAGATTAGAGCTTTATATTTTTCATGAGATATGAGCATTTATTGTTGCCTTGTTTGTCTCTCATCCTTTCTTATACGTCCCTCCATTTATCTAATGGAATTTCTCTTTCTTGGGTTCAGATCCCTTTGCTGAGGCAACTGCTGAGGACTCTGGTGCTGGGACAAAAGAGTATGTGCACATCCGTGTACAGCAACGCAATGGCAGGAAAAGCCTGACTACTGTGCAGGGACTGAAGAAAGAGTTCAGTTACAACAAGATACTCAAAGACCTTAAGAAGGAGTTTTGCTGCAATGGTACTGTTGTCCAGGACCCAGAACTAGGGCAGGTGTGTGCTTAACGGTAAAATCTATAATTTGGTTTCCAATACACGCCCCCTAAATGTCGTCTTGCTGTTGGTCCGCAGGTCATTCAACTTCAAGGTGATCAGCGAAAGAATGTGTCTTCATTTCTAGTCCAGGTATTTATGTGCTCCACCACATAATGGTTTGATGATGTTAAATGTTCTATATGTCGTATTTTAAAAATTTCAAAGTTGCTGCCTTGTTATTCTATTAGAGGGGGTCTTATAATGCACAATTTGGAGGAGTCTGGACCTGATTCACATTTTTGTTTTCTACAGGCTGGGATTGTGAAGAAAGACAATATCAAAATTCACGGTTTCTGAGCCGTTGCAGCAACTTCGTTCTCTGCAGAATGAGTCTCTCTAAACCCTCAGTTGAGAACTTTGTTATCTGAATATTATATCAACTATAAGCTAGTCTGCTATGCGAATCGTGGTTCCGGTGTCTTCTAAGTTTCAAAAAACTCTGTGATGTGGGATACTTGTGGAGTGTATGACGATTTGTGGCTGTCTTAATTTCAATATCTATAAAGATATTATGTTTTTACCTAGATTTCACATGTAAATTATTCTCTGTGAAGGATATAACAAATAAATATGAAATTTTTTGGTGGTGATGCAATCGTAATGTTTCTGCGCCTTCGTGATTTCGGAGTGCATCACCACCCTCCCCCATATGACTCACTGCCAAACCCACCCAAACACCATCCTGGTAACCTCCTCTGCTAACCCCCTCGCCCCTCTCCAGATTTCCCGGTCCCGTTGAGCCACCCCTGAACCATTAGCACGCACTTTCCCAGCCACCCCTTGTCGCCTCTCTGAACCATGAGCACGCACTTCCCCGCCCACCCCTAATCACCACTGTATCTGAAAACCTGAAGATTAACCCAATGCCGATGTGACAAGTTGGGTGACTACTATGAATCTACTGCATACAATCTACATTTACTCCTTAGAATCACCTCTATTAATTACATAAGATTTCTGCTTCAAGTAATGTCAGCCAGCATTACCCCTCAAGCTGGTGCATAAATATCACATATGCCCAACTTGAATAGTAATGAGTAGAAATCTTTGCTTGAAACAGCATGAGTCAACATATAGGCTAGCTGTTCTGCAATCTTGATGTATGGAACCTTGATGGTATCATTCACAAGATTATCTTTGATAAAATGTCTATCAACTTCAATGTGTTTAGTTTTGTCATGTCGAACTGGATCATTAGCAATTACAATCGCTGCTGAATTATCACAATACGACACCATTGGCTTCTTAGGACCAAATCCAAGCTCTTGCAATAAGATATTTAACCAAATCAACTTTGTAATAGCATGATGCAGAGCACTGTATTCAGCTTCTGCACTAGACAAGGGTACAACCTTTTGCTTCTTGCTTCTCCAGGTTATTCCCTCCCACAAATGACACATAACCTGATGTAGACTACCTACCAAGCTTAGACCTTGCATAATCATAGTCGGTGTAACCTTCTACATCCAAGTGCCCATTCTTAGAGAACAAGATACCTTTACCAGGATATGACTTCAAATACTGGAGGATTTGATCCACTGCTTCCATATGTTGAGTACTTGGGTTATGCATAAACTGACTTACTACACTAACTGCATATGATAAGTCAAGTCTAGTGTGAGCCAAATAGATTAACTTCCCAACCAACCGTTGGTATCTGTCTTTATTGGTTGGTACCTGATTTGGATAGATCGTCAAGCCATGATTCACTTCTATTGATGTGTCAATTGGTTCACGTGCTGACTTTCCAATTTCAGCCAAGAGGTCCAAGATGTACTTGCGTTGGGAAAGAAATATTCCCTTCTTAGACTCTGATACTTCTATTTCTAGGAAATACTTTAGAGCTCCCAAATCCTTCATCTCGAATTCCTTGGCTAGGTAAATTTGGAGCTTTTCAATCTTATGCACATCACTACATGTAACCACCATATCATCCACATACACAATTAACATTGTAACCTTGTGACCATCATGCTTAATAAACAAAGTATGGTCAGCTTGAGACTGCTTAAATCCATACCTTTTCAACGAACGTCTAAATCTTAGATCATCACGCTTAATTCATATTGTTTCAGGTCATAATGTGCCTTTTTTAACTTGCACATTTTTCCTTTTTTTGGTGTAATTCTTGGAGGAGGATCCATGTAGACCTCTTCTAGTAAGTTTCCATGCAAGAACGCATTTTTTACATCAAATTGGCGTAGCGGCCAATCCAATTTTAAGGCAAAAGATAAGGTGACTCGAATATTGTTTATCTTAGATACTGGAGCAAATGTTTCCAAGTAATCAACTCCATATGTTTACAAGTCGGGCCTTGTACCTCTCGATAGATCCGTCGGGTTTGTGCTTGACTGTAAACACCTACCTACATCAAACAGTCCTCTTCTTCCTAGGACGGTTCACCATGTCCCAAGTAGCATTCTTTTGTAAAGCTTTCATTTCCTCTACCATGGCAGATTTCCACTTTGGTTCTTCAATGGCTTCCTGAATGACTTAGGAAGGGAAACGGAAGATAATTGAAATGTAAAGGCTAGATGAGACTTGGAAAGACGGTGATAACGGATAAGAATTGGGGGATTGTATTGTTGCAGGTGCATTCTCATGAGAAGCTGACTGGATTTAAAGAGTGACTTCGAGAGAGAGATTTTCTCTAGACTCAACTGGTACTGTTGTAGGCTACTTCCACCTTTTCTGATAAGTTTTGTAGACAACCAGAGCCTTAATAACAGGAAAGGATTGAGTAGGCTCAATGTCTTCTCTAATTCTACCAAATTCTCACCTCCACAACCTGGATTCCTCCCCCAAATGGGAGAATTTGATGCTCTCCTTGAAAATAGTTGTCTTGTTCATGAAACTCAACATCGATGGAAATGTAAAATTTCCCAGAGGGAGGATGGAAACACTTGTACCCTTTTTGAGTGGAAGAATATACCAAAAAGACACATTTCAGTTCCCTTGGATCCAGATTATCTCGATGTAGTGAGTTTATGTGAGCGTAACATATACAACCAAAGACCCCAGGAGTTATATTAAGTACGCCAGAGATAGAGTGAAAGGTAGACAACACTTGAAGATGTGTTTGATACTCTAAGACATGAGAGGGCATTTGATTTAATAAGAAAGGCACTGGCATTACAACATCACCCCAAAATCTTTTTGGAACATTTGTAGTGAAACAAAGGGATCTAGCCACCTCAAATAGATGACGATTCTTACGCTCCGCTATACCATTTTGTTGAGGGGTATAGGCACAAGTCGTTTGGTGGACAACCTCATGCTCTAAGAAGAAATCTATAAGAGGCTTATTGAGATATTCATTTCCATTATCTGACCGAAAAACCTGAATCTAAGCATTAAACCAAGTGTAAACCAGTTTGTAAAACCTAGGAATGATAGAGCCCACATCACTTTTGTGCTTCATTAGATAAATCCAACAAACTCTTGTGCTATCATCAATAAATGAAACAAACCACTTAGGACCAGAAGTAGTAAAAGTAGAGAAAGGGCCCCAACCATCGGCGTTAGATGCGAGAATTATACGCACACAAATTAACCCTCTTTTTATCAATTGTAGTAAGTATGTAAGTAGGGATCGTTCTGGACCGGGGATTAGGAGGGATTGTTAATCACTTGGATTTGACTCAAAAACATAAAAACAAGTTTAAAACACTATACTAGACTCAAAGAATGCAAAACTCAAAATAAGATAGATTAAGACTAAGACTAAACAAAATATGGGGGGGGGGGGATTGAGGTTTTGACGAAATTAAACTAAAATGGATAGATTGTAAAGAAAACAAATTGTAAATACGAATTTGATGGAATTGAATGGATGGGAAGCTAGCTAAGGGGTTCATCTCCACACATGTTATACTTGCACACAAAATGATTTCTAATTGCTTTTCAATAAACCATGAATTCTCAACACCCCGGGTTAATTTGGTCCGTTTAAATTAACCGTCAAGTTTTCCTTAAGTTAATGAATTGGATGATTGCATACGACAACCCAAAGCATTCCCCACAAGTTCCCTACATGAATTGCATAATAGAGATACAAGCAAGAATCATTAAGTTCTTTGAAAATCATAAGTGTTGACGGGGCATTCGTTACTATGAATTGCATGAAACTTATGCCAAGAATTTACTTAACGCGATTGTTTATAAGCAACCTCCGCTACTTGTGAATATAAGTTCATAACTATTATGTGAAATTACTTATATTCTAGCGTCATATTCATGCATGAAAATTAAGCGTGCACTCTCAATAAACATACATAAATAGGTTATCAATCAAATAGTTAAACAAATTGAATCCACAACTTATGAAACGCAATTGGAAGTAATCAAATCATATTGCAAGCATAAACATGTATTTCGAATCCCCCCCTAGCCAAGGGGGGGGGTTTAGTTCCTCACACGTACAAAACAAAGATAAGTAAATTTAATCATTGGAATCAAGGAAAAGAAAACACTTAAAAATTCCAACAACTCAAACTTGAATTGTATGAACGTTTAGGCCTTTCTCCTCCTCTTTGTTGTAGTACAAGGTCTAAGGATATTATTGGTGTGTATTGTGTATGAATGGGAATGGTTGGGTAGTGTTTTGGAGGGTTGGGGAGTGGTGGAAATAGAAGAGAAGAATGCTAGAAATGGAGTGGGGATGCACGGCTATGGGTTTTCAGGATGTGTTTTGTGTTGTGTTGTGTATGAATGGAGGTGTGGAATGAATGAATTGTGTGATGGGATTGCATGGTTTTATAGGGAGAGAATGGGTGAGAATGTGAGAGAATGTGGCTGCAATGATTAAGGGAATGCATGTGAAAAATAGCTAGGTTGGTTGGTGGAAAGCTGGAATTGCAAAAGGGGAATGCAAAGCCACGGCAAGGTGTTGTTTTGGGTGATGGGTGCATGTGTTGGCTGATTTATTTGTTGGGAAAACATGTGAGGGAAGGATTATGGTGAATGATGATGAATGCATGTGGAAGTGTGGCTGAATTGAAGGATACATGTGGCTGAAATGAAAGGGAAATGAAAAGGGAAAAGCTGGAAATGGGAGAGGAGCCACGACAAAGGGTGTTTTTGATGGAATGGATGGTTCTTTGCATGTGAATTAAAACTAGGGTGAATGATGATGAATGCATGTGGATTAAAGAGGGAGAATGTGGTGCAATGATGAAGTGGGAAGTGGAAGAATGTGGTTGGAATGGTGGAGGAAGGCATGACAATGATTTGTTGTTTGTGTGAAGTGTGTGTGAATGGTGGTTTTGCATGGCTTTGATGGATTGTTTGATTGGGCTAGAGGTTTTGCATGGCTCAAAGGATTGTTTGATTGGGCTAGGCCCTTTGTTTTATGTCCCAAAGAGCATACAAGGCTTCAATTTTGTCCATCCTCTTTGCTCCATGATTAAGCTATCCAATCCATGCCCAAAAATGCTCCAATAGCCTCAAAATGCACTTTCTTGCTCCCTTTGCCATGAGGACCTAAAAACAAACGAAAATAGCTTAAACTACTAAAACAACTATG